AGATATTTCATGAACGGGAAGGGCTAGAGACTTGGGGTCGGTCTCATTTTGAAGCTTAATACAAACGTGAAATAGTGATAAAAGTTTTTTTTAATTGTCTGGCCAATTGTTTTCACAACGGCCCGTGAAATGAATCCCTTGCTCGTAGGCTCGAATCTGGAGTTTCCGGCCTTCTCTTAACTTATAGTATATTTTGGAGGGGGGTCATTATTTACATTTTTGGGGGTTTTTTTTGACACTTTTAAGATGAACACAGGTTTTTTTTATCAATCTGGTCATATTTTTTTCTTCCCAGGTCCGATACTCGTGCCTGTGAACCAAACTTTACATAGCTCTATGTAAATTCCCTATGCCGTTACAAAAACAGCCAAAAAATTAAATAAAATACTAGACGTACGCCAAAACAAATCTCAATATAAAAGCTCTACGTTATACAAAAATCAAAAATTCAGCTGTTACAGCAAAAATTAATAGTTGATTTATAAACAATTGAAAAGTCCAGTGGTCACGGCACCAATGAAATAGTGCCGGTTTATTATCAGTGGTTCAAGCTGATTCGAGCCCAACACTCAGTGGCGCTCTGGACAGACTTAAAATATAAATGGCCAAATTACAATACGGACGACACGTGATCACAAATATATCTTTAAACGGCACTTTACCCAGGTTCTCTGAACTCTTAATTGCCAACCAGTGGCTAGGATGGTGGTGTAGGACGCTACCTTTAATTTATTCTTATTAAGAAAGTATAACACAAGACTTTATAAATTTAACATTACGAGATTTATTCAAACGATAATCATAGACTTATTTAAACGATAATCATATAATTTATTTATCAAAAGTATGAATAAGACTATATATTTCAGCAGAATCTACCAACAACGAGTTATTTATTTAAAAAGAATTTTTAAGTGTTTATTAATAAGTATAGCCTAAATTCTCAAATCATATAGATTTCAAAGAGAGTCAAAACTATTAAGTTTTGAAAGAGTGCCAAAGCTCTAAAGCTTTGAAGTGAACTGACCTGTCGGCCAGTTCCCAAGACAAGAAATATAGAAATTCACCTGGTATTTATACACTTTTGGTAGTCATGACAATGCTTAACTATAAGATTGATTGGTCAAAATTACTCATAACAAGTTCTGAACTAATCGTATTATATTAATCAAGTGGACCAATAAAAATGTAAATCTAAACCGAAAGAGCCAATCAAGAGGACTTTAACAGATTAACGTTAGGGAAAGAAGCCAAAATGGACGACAAATGAATGGTATAAATTTGACAACTAAATATTTTATCAAAATACGGTCCTATTACAGTAGTTTAATAGAAATCCTGCTTCATTGACAGATATTGGCCGAACTACATGCGCTCAATATATTAAACAATGTCAAGAAGTATCTTTATTCTTTGCTAATTTGATTTGAAATAAGATAATATATAAAATAATAGTTTCTTAAACATGTTTGCATATATCAGCTTATATCAGAATATAAAAAATCAGCTAACTGATAAATGACAGAATCCTTTTTTACACTAATGCTGAATGCAGCTGTTTTATTCTGGTCGTGTATATACGAGTAAATGTTAATACATTAAAATAAGCCCTAACCTTAACGAATAATGTGAACCTGAAATCTTATGGAACTAAAATTAATAAGCTTAAGCCACCAGTTTAGAGCCAGGGTCAGCTTGTACACACTTGCAGTCTGACTAAGTTTTATACTGTACGAAGCCTATTGTGTAGTATTATACTGAACACACTTCAGTTTGGAACAGACTGTTTCAACATGTTTACACGAACACATTAAAGGCACATTATGCCTAAAACACGAAACATTGTTTTACTTCTTTAAAATTGGCAAATTTGAAACTTAGCGCTAATTTTGAAATAATTCGTGATTAAAGTGAACAATGTAAATACATAAGTATGTTGACCTTCATACAAAATCTTTGAAACTTCTATTTGATATTGTAGAACATTTTAAAAATCTAATTTTAATAAATTTTATCATACAAGGAGTCTTTATTTAAAAAAGAAATACAGAATACAAACATGATGATGCGAACAAGCATTGCAGCAAGGGAGGTAGTTCATTTATATTTCAGAAAAATCAATATTATTACAGATCTGTCCCCCCTTACACAACTTAGTTTTAAATACATGTATCATAATACATAACATGTTTGCATACTACGATTAAAATCAATGTCATCAATAATAACAAGAACAACAACAAGAACAACAACAACAACAATAATAATAATAATAATAATAATAATAATAATAATAATAATAATAATAATAATAATAATTTAATAGTAATAATGAAAAAATAAAGAAGTCCATCAAAGGTGTTTCTTTTGCTCGTGATAAACCGGTTCAAGGACGTACGTAATATTGCTATTTTACATATACATATTCTGTTTACTAAATGATAAACATATATATTACAATCTCACAGTGTTATAATGTTTCCGTAACCTAGAACACGTAATGAAAGCTATTTGTTTTTCTATAGATAGTAACACAGGATACTGTTTATACAATGAAGTCGTATAAAATAACAACATATCATGTTAACCCATCTTGTTTTGAAAACAAATTTAATCTGCAGCAATGTTTGCAATATCACCATTTTTTCTATTTTTAGTTGGGTTTAACGTTGCTCCAACACAGAAGAGGTCATATGGCGACTTTCAAGCTTAACTGATTTACTGATAGAGGAAGACCTGTGGTGCCCCTCCGTGCATTAAATATATTTCATGCACGAAGGGAAATCCGAGTAGAACAACCGACATTCCGTCAGCTTGTCGGATAGCTTCATTATATGAAATAATCCAAAGCTCAATTTTGCGGGATTTGGACCAACAGCGGTCAGGGGCAAGTGGTTTGAAGTTATCGATCAAAACCACCTGACCACGGACGCCAACTATCGCTATATTTTAATAAGATTAAGATTGTTGATTTTTGGGAATCGAACTTAATTATGACATCTGACTTATATAATATGGACGTCAGTTTGACCAAATGTTTTGTATTTCAAAGAAAGTTCAAATAAATATTTGCCGTGTGAATAGACTGTAAACAAATTCACCGTCCCAATGCAGGTACATCTTGGTCATGTTTAACGAGCTTCAGTGCTAATTAATGTGTCTGCTAAACGATGCATCTGTTTCTTCTATTATTGCCATTTCATGATATCTCCACCCTTTCATTACCAAGATAAACTATATTTTAAAGTTCACGATTATAAAATAAGATAAAGACAGGTTGTGAGTTGTTCGGACAAAGTATGTCTGAAATGTATTAACTTCCTGTAAAATATATGCGGAAGAACTGAATAAAGGTAGGATGTCCATTGATCAGTTTAACATAATGGACTGAAATCAGAGAATCTAATTGGACATTCTCAAATTAGTAAAATAATCTAAAGGATCTTTCTGAAACGTATATTAGTCTAAATTCCTAATGAATCTAAAGGAGTTTCGAAAACAAAGTATTTAATAAAATTTCTCGGATATTTGAGCTCAATTATTCGTGCTTCCTCCCATTTAACATTTTACAACAGATGACAATGTATTTATCCTCAGTAATAAATCTGATATAAATGACATTTTGTAAGTTCCATCTAAAATGGCGAGGCAACCAATAACGATCTTGGATCTCCCATTTAACATTTTACAACAGATGACAATGTATTTATCCTCAGTAATAAATCTGATATAAATAACATTTTGTAAGTTCCATCTAAAATGGCGAGGCAACAAATAACGATCTTGGAAACGCATGTGCATGAAAATACCATGGGACACAATGTAAATAAAAACTCTGGTACTCTCAGTAGATTATGTTCAGTGTTCATGATATTATATGTGTGCCCGAGATCTAACCATTTAATGCTATATCAATTGTAGTAAAATTAAGAATTTGCACACGCAATTACGATAATTATTAACAATCGCTCAGTTTACATTCCTACTCATGAATAACCTAAGTAAAATAAGTAATTTGGTAACTAATACAATTAAAAACAGGTTGACTTTGGCCGAGTTTCGACAATGGCAAAGAGGTGAAATATGTTTGATTTCATATATCGCGTGTACACGAGATATATGTCGTGGCCACGAGTTATTAAGTGGTGCGCGAGAAATACTAAATCGTGGCCACGAGTTATTCAGTGGTGCACGCAAGATACTATGTCGTGGCCACGAGTTATTAAGTGGTGCGGACGAGATACTATGTCGTGGTCACGAGTTATTTAGTGGTACGCACGAGATACTTTGTCGTGGCCACGAGTTATTAAGTGGTGCGCACGAGATAATAAAGTGGTGCGCACGAGATACGATGTCATGGCCACGAGTTATTAAGTGGTGCGCACGAGATAATTAAGTGGTGCGCACGCGATACTGTCGCGACCACGAGTTATTAAGTGGTGCATACGAGATAATTAAGTGGTGCGCACGAGATACTATGTCATAGCCACGAGTAATTAAGTGGTGCGCACGAGATATTTTGTCGTGACCACGACATAGTATCTCGTGCGCACCACTTAATTATCTCGTGCGCACCACTTAATAACTCATGATGATATTATTTTCATAATATTTACACAAAAGTAGCAAAATGATTGAACCACGAGTTCTTACAACATCAGCAAACGGTTCAACCCTGATTGATATTCGGAAAATCCCGCTCATCAAGTAAAGATTATGACAATATCACTCAATTACATTGTACTTTACAGAGTTTACTAAAGTGACCTTCCAAAGGTCGAAGTGATCATTACATAGAATAAATATAACCGAAATACTTTTATTCATATATTTACCATTCAAAACATTTATTTTGTTTCTGATGACACGATATACATGCAGTTTGTCATAATCTTTGCTTGATGGGCGGGATTTAGTTGGAATTGGAAATTGGACGAAGTACGCACAAATACCTGTGCACGTGTTAACTGTGACATACGCACATAATATCAAAAGCGTCCGTGAGTGTTAATTAGCGCTTGCAAAGGTTTCAACTACAACGTGCATACGTAATTATCACTTGCGCACGTATTAGTCACCAGATGCGCCTTAAGAACTAATAGGCATGCATGCATTGTCAATCAAAGTATTTTTCAATACGTCCACACGTGATAGTTGACACATGTAAGGTTTACACCACGTGCATTTATTAGTATAACGTGTATGTATTTATATATACACATGCGCACGTCAAACTAATAAATGCATTAATTTTATTTTGTATAAGTTCTCACGTGGGCGACGTTTAAGCGCAACACTTACACGAGCGAACGCAAAATTAACACGTTCACTTCAAATTAGTAATTAAAAAATATTTCTAATGTCCCATTCATGCCACCATACTATGCTTCTCTCCTCGTTATTCAGTAGGTCAACAGGAAACGAATTAGGGTTATCATGACATTTCATGAAATTCGTTTCAAGCAAGTCACGATACACAATAGCTATATGAAAGCAAATTACTACCCAATTCCTGTTTTGGGTTTTTTGGGTGTTTATTTGGTTTTGCTTCAATTAACAACAAAACAAAATCTCGAGTTTATTTATTGACACAGCTTTATTTAAACTATTGCGTGGTTACCTTATAACCTGTCTTTATTAAAAATACTTTTCACTTTGGAATTGAATTTCGCTCACTAAGGTTGGTATATTTTGTTTCTTATAATACTTTTTGATATATATGCGTGCGTGCGTGCGTTTGTGCGTGTGTGTGTGTGTTTCAGATTTACTTTCTTGTATTATATTGTTGAATCTTAAAAATAAAGATCGCGATACTAAAATAAGACGTGATATGGTCTAAGTATGTCCTACCGATTCATTTCCGACGGTTTTCATGTTTGTACTATCCTTAGTTTTCTTTATGCTGTTACGCACACAAACAGGATACCTTAATAATTTTTATGAAATGGAGCATTTTGAATACTTAAATGAGAATTGTCGTAAATATTCGATAACTCTTCTTATGGTTTTTCTTTCATAACTAATTTGATAACAATCCAGTTTAATAATTGAATGGTTATGTGTGTGTTACAAATCGGCAGGTAGTGAAAATAATTCTTCATTCTTAAGGCAGTGCATAATGAATGTAACACCATTATATTTTTAATCTTTTCAAAAATTAACATTTTCGTGGCTAATGATGTATAATTGGACACAACGATGATATTCGTGTTTTATGCTCCTAAACACAGTCATGTTCATCAAGAGTTCTGCTTCTTTTTACAGGGACTCCGTTTTCGAAGTGTATGCGAAAAAATGACAACACCACAGAGTGAATTTGTGAATTGGACTAAAAGTGTTACAGGCTTAGGTGTTACAAAGATTGCTCTTTGTAACCATATCATTACAACTTGGAAGAATGAGTTATATTCTTGGGACCAAGAACAAATTTCGCATTTACCGGATTTTTTGAAAGACATAGATCACGCCTCTATACTGTTGCAGTACAAAAAAGATTCAACAGGCAGAAAACGGTGGAAAATAAAATGTACATGTCGCCTATGCCAATCCATCTTTGATCGTTTACGTTTGTTACAATCGAACGAGTCGAAAAGAATAGTATGGAACCCAGTTGTACAGACAGACAAACAAAGTACAAAAGAAAATAAAACACCACTGCTTCAAATGGGTAAAAATGTATTAAAACAGAAGTATGTAGAAAAATTCAGTGGGATATGTAACACATGCAAAATGGAGGATTGTCCATTTGAACGTAACCGACAAGGAATACCTTTATTTGATGAAACAAGGTCGGGGCCTATAGACGATTACTATTGGCAGATTGCGAACATGTACATGTTTTGCGGAAATGAGAGACACGATATTCCTAACTCAGATCCCGAAAATACAGATGCAGCATCAATTTTCAAGATGATGAGAAATTGCAAGTTATTCAAATTGAAAGATGAGTCAAGTGACGAGGTGTATACTGATGTAAGTCTATGTAAATATATATAGGTGTTATAACTGTTTTCAAAATAGAAAACCAGATTTTGAACGTTTTTTCCCCATAAACATTGAATTACAGAATCAAAATCAACGAAATAATAACAAAATTTGAAAAAATAAACAACAACCTCTTGATTTAAAAAATATTACTTAGACACAAAGAGCTGTTACAGTATATCAATTTTTCGGCAGTGAGTTTGAAAACAGCAAAACATGTCTGATGCTATTATCAAATATAAAATTGTTATTCATTTGTTTTGTGCTCTTAAAGTTAATATTAGCCTTTTTATCTAGCTGTAAATTAGGCAAATGTAGACACGTTTGATGATATATATAATTTTCAATCAGTTTATGACTACATGTAGCCCCACAAATTTTTATTGTTGGAAGAAAATTGCATTTATAATTTATTTCGTTTCTTTCTATAATCTGATTGCTACATTCATTTTCAAGGTTCTACCATGCCTTTTAAAGCAGTCGCGTGCACAGCACTGCAATAAAATGCATGAAGGAAGTAAAATGTAGCACTAGTGTTATTATACGTTTATTATTATTTCAGTTACTTGAAGTGAGAAACTTTTTGATGCACTCTGCTGATCAACGCATTAATGACGAGGCTTTAGATATTTGTTTCCGTCGTATGGAAACGCTATTGCAGATGGAACAATTAAATGATGTGTATTGCCAAAAAGCTATTGTAGAGCTTTCAAAGGTTATAAAGAACTCGTTACTGCTTACATATTTTTATCACATAAATCGCGGCGCAAGAGTGTAATAAAGCCATTTAATAAAAACGATATAACACTAGTGTAATAACACTTTGACGTGACGTCATTTGCGCTATATAGAAATATAGCGTTAAAGCGCGCTAATGTTAGCGTTACACTTTAAACGCGTCATTGAAAAATTACTCTTTTAAACAGTTTATTGTTCTTATTTTTTATTATGTTACAAAATTTATTGAACTCGTTAAATAAAACAATAGTATGCTCGACAAAGGCTCGCATAATATGATTTTATTCAACTCGTTCAATAAATTTAGTATTAAACTACACTCATTCAATATCCTCTCTCTCTCTCTCTCTCTCTCTCTCTCTCTCTCTCTCTCTCTCTCTCTCTCTATATATATATATATATATATATATATATATATACAGTGTAACGCTAACATTAGCGCGCGCAACTTTAACGCTATGTTTCTATATAGCGCAAATGACGTCATGTCAAAGTGTTATTACACTAGTGTAATATCGTTTTTATTAAATGGCTTTATTACACTCCGCGCCGCATTTAATGTGATAAATATATATATATATATAATATATATATATATATATATATATATATATATATATTATATATATTGTTTATATATATATAAATTGTGAGACATATAAAATGTGCAATTAACGCTTAGATATTTAAACTTTTTGTGATCTAATAAACATGGCACCGGTGAGACTTAGTTCCAAACAATAGGCATTGCCGATTGATTTTGACCGTGATATTAAAAAAACAACATTCTCATAAAATTTAGTTTTATAAATCTATACCATTCATTTTATTTTACATATAGCTGAAAAGTTTGGAAATCATTACGCTTTGTTTTTCCCCTGAAGACAAAATCATGATAACACAAGCACTTTGTTTGCAAACATTGGCCTTGGAATTTGAAATAAATGTTGAAGGAACTTTAAAGGATGATGTACAGCTGAAAAGTATTTTGAAAGCACTTGAAACTAAGAAAACAACCATAGAAAAGGTATGGTGAAAATGACAGCTAAGTAGATTTATTTTATACATATTTGAATGTATGTTTCTATCACAAATGCATGTACACAAGTAAATAAGTATAATGCACTTTTTGTTCTTTATGGACATAGTTTTGATATCTGCAGACCCTGTTAGATCACAAGCTGAAGTTGGTGCTGTTCACTAATAGTCAATAAAATGGGGTCTTAAGTTTATATAAAAAGTTGATAAAATAGCAAATTCTGCTTAATGCCGTTAAAGTTTTGCGTGATTAAGTGTTATGGACATTCAATAACCTTTTGCTGGTTTTGAAAAAAGTTTAACTTGATATCAAAATTAAGTTATTACCGTTTAATACTAAGATTCTGCCAATTGAAATATGTGTTTTTTAGATTGTCAGGGAGGGCCTTTGTAGCTATATGCCTTTAATTTTGTAAATATATTAGGAAGGTTAAATATACACCAAAGTATGCTTTTACTGTTTAGCTGGGCTTCTTTGCTGTGTGAATTGAAGATCAGTTCGTTAAAAGTTGGCTTAAAATTCATATAGTCAAAACAATGTCTCTCCTTTATATCATATTTGATAGTAGAATCGACATTTGCTCAAATCTGTGTAACTTGTCGACCTTTTTCTATATTACAGGATACATCAGACGACATTTCGATTAAGGTAAGCCTTAATAAATATATATGCTACCTTTGTACAAAATGTATTTATTTGATAGGATATGTTTACTTTGTTGGAATTTTTCAGACTATTTAGAATACTTTCACAAAACAACCTCTCACTTATGTATCACAATCATGTAAACATCAATATTTTGGCAATATTAATTTGTGTCTGCTGGCAACGAGAATGAATAATAAGGTATTTCTGTGTCGCTTTATAGAATCAGAATATATTGTTGTTTCTTTTATTCAAACATTAATTTAGCAACATTTTATGCCACTGGGAACAGATACCTTAAGTACGTTACGTTTTTTTATTAAGTATATCCTTAAGAGGATTTTGTACTTTATTTTAGTTTCTAATGTGAAGATATCTTTTTTAACCAAAATTATTACTTAAAACTTTGACCTGTTAAAGTTATGGAAGCTTACAAAGATTGATTCAATTTTTACAACGATGTTCTACAATGTCATTTAACAGACCATGTGCTAGATAGAAGAATCGACAGTTAGTCAAAACTGTGTACTTGGACGCTCTTTTTCTATATTACAGGATCTATCAGATGGGATTTCGAGTCAGGTAATATGTTAATCCTTAATAAATAAACATTGTACTTTCGTACAAAATGTACCTATATGATCGGATGTCTTGTTTTAAAAGAATTTACCGGAATTTGTAGCAAACACGGTTAAAAAGGTAAAGTCTGACCAGAACTCGAATCTGGAAGCCCCGGAATAACGACAGTATCGTCAGACCTATTCGACCGCTTACACATCTTCTTCCCTTAAAAGTGATAGGACAGTTCAATACCGTGCCATTCAAAGGATGATAAAAATGCAGTTTGAACCCGGACTGCGTAGGGAGGCACTACAGACTGAGCTATTCGGTTGCCTACACAAATTTACCCAACATTGTGAGTGAACAATGCAATACCGTGCCATATTCATCATAGATAATTCCTTTTTAATTATTGTCAGAAAATGCAAAAGAAGTTGATTTTTGGTTGTTATTTGCTTCATATTCATATTTAACAGTTACAAAATATAAAGATTTATTTTGATTACTTTATCTACATGTTTAGCCACTTTGTATTGCAGTTGCTTTATTTGTTAATGCATTAAGTTTTTAGCAAAAATAAATAAGGAAAAAGATATTTCTCTTAGGCATGTATTCAAACAGAAATACATGTAGTTTGTGGATGACAAATGATCAAATGTCATAGTTTCCGATCCGTTAGTACAAATAAGAAATACTTAGTTTTGATATGGTTTTGTTAAACGTTTACGGTCTTGTTTGCCAACTGTACAATTTACGGAACCTAGAATAAGCTATTATGTTTAAAATCAACCATACAACATATTTGAAGATACTTTTTAAAGAGTCTAAAGCGTGGTTTTCTTTCGAAATGACGGGTCTCTGGATGGCCAGTCAAGGATGCTTACCACAACACTATATGTTTATATTCTGTTTGCTTGTTTTTGTTTGTTTTGTTTTAGGCATTGGGTACAACAGGTGCAGGAGCTCTGGCTTGGGCTGCTCTTGGAGCAGGATTTGGATGGGTAGTCGGAAAAATCATGGATCACTCCAAAGTGGATAAAAAGTAAATTAAAGTCGCACCGTATTTATCCTTTCCGTTAAACTTCGGATAAAGACCTCGAACAAAATATTATGCATACATAGAACGGTCTTACATGCATAATGAAGATAAAAACATGTAAACTAACTATACTTTATATACATGAACTAATTATTATGTTTTTAGAAACCGATAATACAAATTGTTTACCAGTTGGCATTTTTTTGCTATTTTGTAATAATGGAACGTTAGTGTGCATTTTTAAATTTGTTAAACATATTTTTTAATCATAATTGTACCTAAATATTTTTTTCGGCTGAAGTAAAACAAATACATTCGTTATTCGTTATTAAAAGATGTCTTTGTTTGTTTTTTTAGGTTTGAATACATATTTTATTTTAGTTTTGCATACATATTTCATTTTATTTTTTCGTACATATGTAAGTATGACGCTATTTGCAAAGTAGAGGTTTGGATAGTTACGCCATTTGTAAAACACCATTTTCAGACACATCGCCATCTGTAAATTACAGTACCCCATTTGCAAACGCCTTTTGCAAATACCAAAATTTTCATCTTCGAAGGCATAAAAAATAACAAACAGTTTTTAGTATATATATAATATATATATAGTCCGCGGTGACGCAAGGAAAGGTTCTGCATATGGTCTTGATGTGGTTAACGTTTGACTCAAGGTGCATGAAAATCCTTCATGGGGTTTAGGAGATAAGGAGCGGGCATGAAACCCAAGTCACAATTCTTTAACCTGTATGTGTGACCCACCCTTAAACAGGCACACCTGGCATATAAGTTCTGCACATTATCTGTGTGTGCTTAACAATTGATCCAAGTTTCATAAAAATCCTTCAAGCATTTCTTTCTAAACCAGTGGGATAATAAGAACCTATTTAGATCTTTCATTGTGCATTATTGTAATACATTAGTCATTTTTAACCACCTCTCTCGCCCCGGGGGGTGCGGGTTAAAAAGAATCGTCTTTTGACGTTTGCGCTGTTCCGGGGAATAAGGCATGAATGTTATTATCTGAGTATCCTCCGCAGGGCGAATATTGTACCAGAGGTCGTCTTGGTTTAAAGTCAATGCCCCCCCCCCCCCCCCGCTATTTTCAGAGTGTGTGGTTCATTGGTGCATATTCATGGAATTATAATTGATCACAATCAACAGGTCTTGCCAGATATACACTTATATAATAATAATAATAAAAATAATAATAATAATAAAACAATAATTATGTAAAATACATAATTATCATTTAAAAAGTGGACCGAAAAAAAAACTTGACTTAGTTACTGAATTAATAGCCGTTGCTAGGGAAACATATTGTCATAAAGGAGATTGAAAAAAAAAACATACTAGAAACATTTTATAAAAATATAAGCAGAACAATTTTTTAATTGAAAGAAAGATTGGATTGGGAGGATAACCGACCTAATATTCGAATTATCTGTTCAAGAGCAGGGACAAAACTATTGTTTAGAAATAGGCTATATTTAAAGAAGAAAATAGATATACTTAGCTTACAAAATGGAAGAGAAATTAAAAAAAAAACTATCCATAACAATTGTTTGCAATGACGCACACATACTTGACACTTTACATGAAATGCAGAATAATAAGGTATTTTAAACCTAAATTGTGAATTGTCTGCTATAAAAAGAAGTTTTTTTAAAGGAAAAATCATAAGATGATAACTGAAAAACGAGTTCGGTGACCCACAGTTTATTTCACTATCAACTTTTTGCTGTGATCATGAAATGGTTCAATTAATTTAATTCTTTAGAATCATTCTGAAAGGTGTCGTTATGTCACTCTAGCATACGTTATACGTAAATGACTGAATTCATTATGTTTACACTGCTTTTTTTGTTTCAAAAGGTGTTTATTCAGATTCTGTAAATTTTTAAATTGTTAATTCTTAAAAATTAGCAAAAACTAGCAAAAATCTAAAAAAACATGTATGCTAACTACATTTTATATACAGGAGCTAATCATTATGTTATACAAAATGTATACCAGTTGACATTATTTCATATTTTGTTATATTCGTTGTAAAATAGAATTTTTATATTGTATATAATTTCATTGTGACACTTGATATAAAAAAAAAAAAAAAAAAAAAAAAAAAAAAAAAAAAAAAACAAACCAATATTTCTTGCTTGTTACGTAAATGATGAACATAAATATGGATAAAGTGATCTGTTTGTTTGTTTGTTTCATTTTACGCCTTTTTCCAACAGTATTTCAGTCATATAGGCGGGTAGTTTCCTAACCATCGTTCCTGGAGAGTTACACCAGTACTAGACAACCTTCCTCCGCGCTAAACTACCAAAGCATTTCCCGGGGATCGAACCCACGCCAGAGAGGTAACTGGATTAGAAGTCATCGACTCTAACCACTCGACCACGGAGGCGGTAAAGTGATCTAAAACAACAACAACAAAAAACAACATACTGTATTCAGTGTATCTTAATTTTATAATCTGCTTCTCAGGGTGTGAAAACTATGACCAAAACAGTGATATAAATTATTTTTTTCAAACAAAAAATATTTGGTACGATGAAAACTTTATTCAAAATTGTTTGTAGTGAACTTCATGTTGATTGAGCTTAAATTTTAATGAGGCGGAAACGAAAACGTTATACAATTCATACATATTCAGATTATAATTTAGAACAGTTTACTGTAAAAGTTCTTTATTTTATCTAAGTAGAATTATTCTGACATTTGTACACAATTAACTTGTTTATGTAAACGTTATAATTGAACAATACTAACAATTGTTGTGTCTTATAGAAGTGTATAATTATAGTGATTAAACAATGTATATTATGTTTTTAAAATTGAAGCTGCAGCTTAAATACACTCTTTCTACAATACTTTTTTCCTTCAAAACATATATTGTATTGTAATTGTATACATACACATTGCTTAAATTTGTAAATGTTATCAAGTTTTGTTGCTTTGTCTGACTGTACAATTTCTTGTTAAAAAGAAAGTTGCATTTTGTTAGTTTACAAATATTTTTTCGGGTAATTTGAGAATGACTTACTTTAAAAAAAAAGAAAATCAAAAAAAAAAAAGAACTTGACTTAGAAATAACTTAGCGACCAACTAACGAAAACATTAAATACCCTGTAACTCATATTTTATATCATGGGCATGATGCTTAAATTATGTTGACACTGGTTTTTTTGTTTCAAAAGATGTTTATTCAGATTCTGTAAATTTTTAATTAGTAATTCTTAAACATTTTAAAGAACATTGTAATTAAAATCCCAAATTTAACAATTTGGTTTGGCTAATGGTTATTTATATATTTTTATGTATCGTTTTATATTTAATTTGCCTAGTTATTATAATAGGGTTTTGGTGATTTCCATGTACAATTTATTAGTTTATTAAAAATCCAAAAAACAGAGAGAAACAATTAAATTGACACCATACACTACACAATGAAAAAATGCAATTCAAAAATCATGTTCAAACATCTTTTAGCATACTATATGATTCTAGATATTTTAAAAGATTAACATTATATTATTTTAACGCGTTTTGACTTTTTTCTTTCGTCCGGACACTATGTGTTATCACTTGTTACGTTGTACGTCACGTCTTATACACACCTGATAAAGATATTATATTTACAGAAATGAAATACAAATGGAATGATGTATATAAACAACAGTTTAGATCAGGAGTCATAGCTAACTTACCATTATTTAATAATATTGTTAATGATTTAGACAATAACAGTCGACAGTCTGTCAATAATGCACTTTATAGTTTTACAGATGTATTACGAAATGTTAGTGACCCATTATTTTCAAAAACATGTCAGTTTTAAAATGTTCATTGTTTTGAAGAAGAAAGTTGTATTAAGCATGCTGATTGGTTTGATGTAGAATGTAGGAATGCACGTAATAAGTATTTAGAATCTTTAAGGTTGTTTAATATCTCAAAAGTATAAAAGTATTGTTAGAAAAAAGAAAAGCTTACATTACAGAAAGAAAATGTCTGAGATAGAAAATTAAAAGAAAGGTAAACCTAGAGATTTTTGGAAATATTTTAAAAAGAAATCGAACAATTTTGGAAAAAATATTACAGTTGAACAATTTAAAGAATATTTTTCTAATATAAGTTACGAATTATTTGCTTGTTGCAATGAGGAGGCTAATCAGTTTTGTCATAATAATGATTTTATGAGGTCAAATGAATTTTTTCCAGAATTAGACCAACCAATTACAGTTTGTGAAATTTTAACTGCTGTAAAATCACTAAAGCGTAACAAAGCGTATGGTAGCGACTGCTTATTAAACGAGTATTTTATTGAAAGTATAGATATTTTATCGGCTCATATCTGTGATTTATTTAATGGTATTTTAGATTCGGGTTATTTCACCGAGAACATAAAAAAGGTTGTCACGATGACGTAAATAATTACAGAGGTATTACTCTTGTTAGTTGTATGTCAAAATTGTTTACTACTGTTATTAATAATCGAATTGAGAAATTTTGTAACGAATATAACACTATTTCGGATGCTCAATTCGGAGTCCGTAAAGGAAGGTCTACTGTAGATGCTATATTTGTACTTATGTCATTAGTTGAAAAATATTTAAATGAAAATAAAAGATTATATGTTACATGTATATTTGTTGATATGATGAAGTGTTTTGATTCTATTGATAGAAATGGTTTATGGTTAAAAATGTATATATATTGATTATTGAGAATTGTTCGTGATATGTACCAGAAAATTAGGTTTGTGTCTTGTTAGTGTTCTATTTAGAATTAGGTGTGCGAATTTTTTAACTAATTGGATACACCAAACTGTCTAAATAGCAAATAAAATAGAAATTATACATTTTTTCCGAGTAATCGTATATCAATTTTGTTAACCGATATTCGGACGTTCGATCGAGTACTCGGTTAACCGGTTATTCGTTACCATCCCTAATATTGAGAATTGTTCGTGATATGTACCAGAAAATTAGGTCTTGTGTTAAACTTTGTTCAAGTTATTCTGAATATTTCCAATATGCTGTTGGTCTTCGTCAAGGGGAGGTAATGTTCCCTCTACTATTTTCAATTTTTGTAGAAGACATCGAATTGTAACTTCAAAACAATCCCGACTCAGGTTTAATACTAGATGATACTGTTTTAATACTTTTACTTTTTGCAGATGATATGGCAATTATAGGCAAAAGCCTTGAGGAAATACAGGAACTATTAGAGCTTTTGTATTTATATTGTAACAACTGTGGCCTTAAAGTAAATACAACAAAAACTAAAATAATGGTATTTCGAAAAAGAGGTCGTATTTTACCA